GCGGGACTCGTGTGTGGGCTCCTGCGGTGGGGAGAGTCCAGGGGTGCCCGTGGTGGGGCTGGAGGGCCCCCAGGATGAAGGGGAGGGTCCCCACGGCGGGGACAGTCCGGGGGTCCCCCTGGGTGGGGAGGGGGGCGGCTCCGGGGGCGGTCCCCGCCGTGGGGAGGGGCCGAGGGTCCCGCGGCCACCGCGCCCGCCAGCAGGTGGCGCCGCAGGACCGCGAAGAACCCTACCAGGGCGGGATGTGGGGGCGTGGCCAGGCTGCATATTTGACCTTATATGGACAAAGGGGCGGGGTTATGCAAATATAAGCCCAGGGCGCCTCGCGCAAGGAGAGGCCGTGGGCGGGGCGTTAGGGAGTGTCGCGCCCGGCAGGCCGCGAGGAGGCCGCGGCTCCCGGGCCGTGCCCGCCGCGGCTCCCGGGCCGTGCCCGCCGCAGCGCGGGGGTGACTCATCTGCTGTGGCTGATTCAACGCGGGTGGCTGGAAGTGGCGCGGGCGGCGCTGGGGCCCTCTCGGGGGCAGAGGACGGCTCCTCTCTCACTCCCGCGCCCGGCTGGAGGCTGATCCCTGCTCCGAGGAACCGCGCTGGGAAGGGCGTGGGGCAGGGCTGCATCCTGCCGGGATGTCCCCCCGTCCCGCTTGAACGCGAGCCCGGGCCTGGCTGCACCGGCAGCCGGAGAAGCGCCGGCCCTGCTGCAGCCTGCCCGCAATGCCGGCCGGCTCCCACGCTCCGGTGCTGCAGCCGTTCCCTCGGCGCCGCCTGCGCCCCGCCACGCCCTGGCTCTCTTGGCTGCTCCACGGCTTGTTTTCCAAGAGAAATTAGGAGAGGGAGCTGCTGGCTCAGGGTGCGCGGGGCGCTGGGGTTCGCCCGCCGCTGCCATGGGCAGCTCCAGGGTCCCAGGGAGGCCAGCGCCCCAAAACGTGGCGCGAAGCGGGCACGGCCCTGCCGGGGTCCGTTACTCGCAGGGGCTGCTGAACTGGCAAGAGCTCAAACACGCGCTGGGAGCGGCGCTGGCGACGCTTGCGCAGCTCTGCCCTTGTTTATTTATTGACTTTTGTATTTTTATGTCTTTATTGGCGCTCCCCTCGTGGAAACGACAGTGCTGCGGCCGGCTGAGCCGCCAGGCCGCGCGTTAATGGCGCTCAGCGGCCCGGCCCGGATCCGCAGATGGCGGCGCCGCCGTGACCGCCCCGCGCCCGCCGCGAGGCCTAGGGGCGCCGGGCGCCATGGCAACAGCTCCAGGGCGGGGTCCTCCGCTGTCTGGATTGGTGTGTGCGGCTGCCACTCAAGTGTAGGCTCCTGCGCTTCGTCCCATTGGTCGCCGCCGCTGCCGCTCAGTGGAGGCGCCGTGTTCCATTGGTTGAGCACCTTGTCGATCAAGCCGTGCACAAGCGGCGGGGCTAAACGGCCTCGTTTCGCTCTTGAGGGGGCCTCGCGGGGGAGGGCGGGGGCGGGGGCAGCGGCTCTTCCCCCGCGCTGATTGGCCCTCTGGGCCGCCCATTATGGCAGGGGCGGCGGCGGTGGCGGGATCAACACCTTGCCCGCCGCCGTTCATTGGTCAAGCTCCTGGTTCCGCCTCCCGCTGCGGGCGCCCATTGGCGGGGCGCTCTACGCGAGGCGGGCGGGGTGGTGGCGGTTGTGGCCGGGCGGGGAGCGCGGCGCCGCCGGCGGCTGCGGGG